AATAAAAATGAATGTTCTCTATAATCCAAAGAGAGAGATCACATGAGAGAGAAATATAGATAGTAAGGGAAAGAGTATCTATGAATAGTGATGCTTATGTATGAAGCCATGAGAGAAAGAAGTAAGAGAGAGAAAGAGATGCTTATTTATGAATCAGAGAAAGAGAGAGAGTGAGTTATTGTATAGGTTATCTTTTGAAATTATGAGCTGAAATATATATATATATATATATATATTCATCGGTGGCTGAGGGGGATACCTCGACATAAGGTCGCACCCTCTACCTCTACTACCAACATTAACATATAAAAAAAAAATAACATTAAGGAAAAAGTATGGGGGCCTCCAATTTGTACTTTCTAGACATGTGCCCGACGTGTTTCTAAAAAAATTGCCAGTCCAATAGAAAATATGATATATAATTAAAATTATGCTGGCCAGGCACAAATTATGTTGGTTATTTATGCTCTCTCTCTAGGGATAATATTGGATTAGGATTCTTTGAGAAATTGAAGTACTCTCTCTCTCCCCCAAAAATTAAAGTATTTGACACAAAATATTGTTAAAATGTCAAACCATCCAATAATTGTTTGAGAAAGTCAAATGAATGGCTTATCTAACGGGTGTTGTTTGTATAGAGCCTAGGCTCTAATTAATCAAATTAGAGCCTACCTTCAAATGGTATAAAAAAATGTGGTTTCAATATTGAAAATCTTTATAATAGTTATAAAAGGGTGCAGTTTGTATAGAGCTGAGGTTCTAAACAATCAAATCTGAGCCCACCTTCAAATAGTGTCGAAAAATATGGTTTCAATACTGAAAATTTTTGTAATAGCTTTAAAAAATATTTTCATCTTTAATTTTAAAATTTAAATCTTTAAAAATAGTGTAGATCAAACAGATCTATGAAAACTTGAAAATCTTGAAAATTGACAGTAAAAAAATACGTTACAAGATGCACTATTTCCGAAACTTGAAATCCATTTTTTCTCATGTCCATGCATCTTGACGTCAAGATGATCAACTTGATGATATTTGGACATCAAAACAATGTCTTCTAGTGAAATTTTTGAGGTAGGCTGTAATTTGATTGTTTAGAGCCTAGGCTCTTTTCCAGCTATAAAATATATTTTCATATTTACTTATAAAGTTTCAAGCTTAAAAAATAGTATATATTGACATATCTATGAAAACTTAAAAATCTTGAAAATTGACGGTCCAAAAATGCATTACAAAATACACTATTCTCAAAACTTGCAATCCATTTTTTTTTTCATATTCTTACTTCTTGATGTCGAGATGATCAATTTGAAGATATTTGGGCATCAAAACAACCTCTTTTAATGAAATTTTTGATGTAGGCTCAAATTTGATTGTGTAGAGCCTCGGCTGTGTATAAACTTTTCCCTTATCTAAAAAGTGGAAGTCAACCACCCAACAAAATGGTTAGGTCGTGGTTGATAGTTTGTAATTTTCTCCAAAAGTTGCAGCGCAAGGGTACCTATGATCCACCACTTTCCTCAAGGGAATAGTGAAATGGAAAAAAACAAGTTCTGATTTTCCTGTTCTCAAAAGGGTGAAAACTACAATGCATGAAAAAAAAAATGTGAGACTTTTCCCATGGTTTCTCCATTATCAAACGCCCCCTTAGTAGCCCCTAAACTCCAAAGAAAGCTTTCCGTATTTAGTAGCCCCTAAACTCTGAAGTACCAAAGCTTAGATGCCGGAGAATACTGCACACAACAAAGAGAAGTAATAGACTCTACCCTCGTGAGCTTAGATGTGGGGCTGGGAATGGTCCGGGTGGCCCGGTTCGGCTTGGCCTTATAAAACCGGGGCCTAGGCCATAGAATGGCCGGAGGGTGGGGCCAGAGCAGAGCCATCATGGCCTGAGGGTAAGACCGAGCAAGCCTAGGCCAAGGCCTTGATAGGGCCACTCCAGCCTGTTCGCCTCCTTTTTATTTTTTTTCTTAGTTTCTTTCCTTCAAGTGTATTAGGGTCGGGCCGGTCTAGGGCAAGGACTGGCCGAGCCAGTTGTCAGCTCCACTTCGATGGCCATTTTCTAAGAAGTAGGGTACAATTGTCGGGGAAAATTGGGTTTATTTGGTTCTTACTACCAATGTTTTTCGACTTTGTGCTCGGGCCTCAGTCTAGGCCCTGGTGCCGACTCGGCCAAGTAATGTGCCCAAAAAGGCTTAATTTTTTTTTTTGTAAATTCCAGAACAATTGTAAAACTAACTAAAGACTATAAAAACAAATTAAAATTTAAACTTGCATAAGGAATTCAAATAGTCTGAAAAAAAAATATAAAAGAGAAAAAACAGATTCAGAAAAAATTCATTTATAGTGGAGATATTTCAAAAAAATCCAAAAAGAAAAATAAAACACAAAACTAGGGGACAATAAAAATTCACACATCATTGTAAAACACATTCAAATTTAATATTTTCATAAGTTGATCCTACAAATTTATATAATTTTTATATTTTTGTAATTTTTAATATAACCGAGTTGTATTCAGGTACTCGCCTCAGACAGAGGTAAAGTCCAAGTAATTCGGCCTAAGTAATCCAACACAATTTCTTACTCTTTCACCGCATTGTTAGAGCAGTGAACCAAAACTGACCCATGGCGAATGTGGGGTGGGATCCGGAGTGTAGCGATTTCGGGCTGAAACCTTGAATCGCTCGAGTCTCTTGGTTTTTTTTAGTGTATTTGAATATTTTATAGTAAAATTTCGGGGTTTGACTTGAGACTCATTCCATTCGAATCATGGCCGCTGTGCTTGGATCGTTGGCGTATCCAAGTCCTCTAAGCTAGACTGCGGGAGTTGACTCGGTGACTTTTGTTCAACGAACTCATGAGGGAATGAATAGATTATTAACTGTTTTAAACTCTGATCATCAAGAAAAGGAAAAAGTTTATATAAGGTTGCACTTCAAAAACTTTATCGGAAAATGTTGACCGTCTATTTTTAAGATTTCCATAAGTTTATAGATCTACTTGATTTTAACCACTTTTGGAGTTTACAATTAAATATGAGAATAGATATTGAAATAATCCTAAAAATATTTTACATTAAAATTATATATTATAATAAAATTTGGAGGTGCACCTTAATTGGATTGTTTAAAGTTGCAACCTCATGGAAACCACACCCTAAAGAAAACACTGTGAGTCACTCACCTTTTTCTATTAAACCTCTTGTTGAGGTAAGTGTTATCGGGTGGAGTGTCCAATCGGACCGGAGCGAGTAAATCTGTTGAGTTCGAGGTAAAACTTGGGGATATTAAAAAAAATCAAAATTTATATTGAAAATTAGAAAAATGTTGGATTGTTTTATATTTGGATATATTTGACAAACATTGGAAAGTCTTTTTTCTAAATTTTTATTTTTATGCTTGGATTTAACTTTTTTAAAGTTATTTTAGGTTTTAATTTACTTTTACTAGAATTTTTATTCTTTCAATTTTTCTATGTTTTAAAGTTTTTTAGAGCCAAAAGGCCTTGTGCGGGGATTCGGCTGTGTAACTCACTCGCTTCGGCCAGGGGATGAGTCCGGGGATACTGGCAAAAACCTTGACTCAAAAATAAAAAGCGATTAGTGATGAATATTTCCGATAAATTTATTTATAGTTATTTTTATTGCGACAAGTCTTAATGTCAACAATCAGACCAATAGTAAATAAAATAAGTTAATTGTGATATTTTAATGTTTCAAGATTTCATCTAACAAGATTTCTCTTGAAAAGTAACATCACTTACCGAAATGCTCTAAGCGCGTGACAAATTGGACAGCAAATTTTCAAGAACTTGACAATAGATATGTAGAACTACAAAGCAAAATTTTAAAAACTGGATTGCTAGTTGAATCAGTCACCTGTAGTACCCATCTGGATCGGCTGAATTGGTAATCCAGATCAGTGGGAATTGAGAATAATAATAATAAAATAATAAAATTAGAAAAAATCGAGCAATTCTAGAGATCACAGATGTAGAAACCCCACCCACCGAACTCGATCTAACGATTCTAATCCAAATAGCCAGATTTTGAAACACGAAGCTTGATAGTAGGTTTTGAAATCTTAAATTTGTTATATCTAGAAATTATGGACAACATTATCATCTATTCAGTTTTAAAATACTTAAGTCTTTAATAGTGTATAATTTTCGTCCATGCTAATCTTAGTAAAACTTTTACTCCACAGCAAATTATATATTACTTTTTTTGGGCAGTTAAATTCCATATTAGCTTAGTGTATTGAATTCAAATTAATTTCCTAATAAATACTCAGAAAAAGGACAAACACGGTAATATCCCAATGCAATTAACCATTATTGTACGAAAACATTTAGGACCTTCTATCCAGGCATAGACGATTTCAGGAGGGAGGGCCAAAATATATTATTTCAGTAATTGAAAATTCGATAATTTAGCAAAGTAAGTTGATTTTTTATTTCAATTTTAGCAAATTCGATCAAATATATTATTCTATTTTATTTATTTTTTAATGCTTTTGGATCACAAATCCAGACCGATACATACTCGATTTAGATCGCCAATTCAGGGTTCCGGCATGGATCTGTGGATGAACAATTCTCCCAACCAATCCAAATTTTGAAGCACTGATCTTCTTTCTTAGAGAAGTTATTGTATACTGAAACACTGATCTTCTTTCTTAGGAAAGTTTTTGTATATTTGCATCTCTCTTCCCTTCGCTTTTCCCACACCATCAATATTAAGAGTTCATTGGCAACCTTGTCACATAAACAAATAATACTTCCTAAAAATGGACCAGATTACCTTTTCAAACTAGACATACTTGTAATTTAAGGGTCCAAAATTTTAAAACCAAGGTTCTAATTGCACCAGACTTGAAGCCTAGATTTCTGCAAAGTCCCACAACCTTAGCTTTGAAGCAACTCACACTAGACCATCTACCCAAAAGAAATGAACATTTCCTAACACAAAAAACCACCCTATATAATCCCAACCTCCCTCCCCATTCCCCACAACCCAAATACCCATGCAACACCTAAGATTATTTTTGTAATCCCAAAATGGCCCTTTTCTCTCGCTTCCTCCTGTCCTCTTTTCTCTTTCTAGGATTTGTGGCCTTGGCAAAAGCTGGAGACTTTTCAATAGTTGGATACTCTCCTGAGGACTTGGCCTCTGATGAAGGGCTCATCTCCCTCTTTCAATCATGGGCTTCAAAGCATGGCAAAGTGTATAGGGATTTTGAGGAAAAATTGAGGAGGTTTGAAATTTTTAAGGACAACATAAAGTGGATTGATGAGACAAATAGGGAGAACAAGAGCTACTGGCTTGGGCTTAATGAATTTGCAGATATGAGCCATGAAGAGTTTAAGGAGAAGTATTTGGGGGTGAAACCCATATTTCCTAAGAGGAATGGAGGCCAAAACTTTAGGTATAAGGATGTTGAGAACATTCCCAAGTCTATGGATTGGAGAAAGAAGGGAGCTGTTATTGGGGTGAAGAACCAAGGGCAATGTGGTAACTCTCTCTCTCTCTCTCTCTCTCTCTCTCTCTCTTGTGCTAGGGGATTTTTTGATGCATTGACAACAAAATCTCGTTTTAAATAAACATGTCTTGCTCTTTGGGACTTTTTTCTAAAAGAGGGAAATATCATTTAAGGGTTCAAATCTCTTTATAGAATTATTAAATCCTGAATGAGGTAAAAAAATTAATTTCCTAGTTCACATTAGAGGGTTTATATCTTATTTCTTATTTCATTCATGTACCTCTTAAAACTATATTTTTAAAAATGCCCAAACTCTCATTGTTTAAGATTGCCGATCCTAATCAAGTAGGGGTAATTCATAAATTTGACTCATCTAAGAGGTCCTGACCAAATGGAAGGAGTATACGTACTAGTTCAAAATGGATCAAATTTCTAAATTATCTCTACTTGTTCAAGTTTCCCAACCCTATATAAAATTAATTTACGTATTTCTGAAGAGATACTCAACTGAAATGTCAATTAAAAATGACATCTTTCAATATTAATTGGGACCTTTTGTCTCATTAATATTTTTTACGAGGTTTTTACCTTTTAAATAATATTCTTTCTTCCAATCTCTCAAAAAAAAATAAAAAAAAATAAATAATAATAATAATAATTTTGCGCCCACTTATTTAATACAATAAGTACGTCAATACTCAATAGGAGGGGGTAGGAATGTTAATAATGTGCAATACATGTATGTATGCATTACTATTTCCAAGGTTGTATTAAGTAATTCCCTTTTGCTTGTGAGAGAAAAACACCTTTTAAACTATATTTGGTCACATATAACGCATGGTTTCATTCATCATTTAGAAGTAGGATTGATGGTCTCTCTCTCTCTCTCTCTCTCTCAATTATATTTCAAGAAAGAATGGCAGTTGGATCACATATAACGCATGGTTGCTTTCATCATTTTCAAGTAGGATTGGTGGTCTCTCTCTCTCTTCATCTCTCATTATTATATTTTAAGAAAGAATGTCAGTTTGAACTCTCTCTCTCTTTCTCTCTCTAAATTATACCAATAGAAAGTATGACAGTTGACTGTTTCTCTCTCTAGGGAGTTGTTGGGCCTTCTCAACAGTAGCAGCCGTAGAGGGCATCAACAAGATTATTACAGGGAACGTAACCTCCCTCTCAGAGCAAGAGTTGATAGATTGTGACACAAGGAACGACGGGTGCAATGGTGGTCTCATGGATTATGCTTTCTCCTACATCATATCCAATGGTGGAATCCATGCTGAGGAAGACTATCCGTATCTCATGAAAGAATCAGAATGCCAAGAGAAAAAGGTTGTTCTTTTTCCATATTTTCCTATATTTTACTAATTTTAAATTTTCGGAACTAGAGATGGATAGTTTACTAATATTGTCTGCTAAGGTACAGAACGACATATTCATAATCAAGATCCTTTACATTTAATACTTTTGTTAAATGGTA